GGCGAGCTTGCCGAGTGGCAGATCGGGCTAAAAATCATGTAGTGTGAACTGGGCTTAAAACCACAAACTGTTCCTGCTCAGGTTTCCCCTGATTTTAGTCTTTATGCTAAGCTACGCTAACCACTGTAGTTCCGTCTTAATGCAGATCTGAGAGTGGTAGGGCTGTCGTCACACACGGACACATGTTCACCCGTTGGCGTCAGTTCTTAACGCACTGTGGAGCCCTTAGCGTCGTTTATGAACGCTAAAAGCAGGCGAGGGATAATTAACGGAAACAGACTTTCACCAGGGTGGTTTCCAATGTGAAAGAGAAAGTCAACATTGAATGTCTTTATTTGAGTTACATAAGTAACGTTGCTTAACTTGGGTAAGTCGTAACGGACGGGCCTCTAATTCCTTTCACACTAACGAGCAAAATAGGCTACTTTCAAATAGTTTATTTTGACCAGTATGATATTACTTGTATAATAGTAGACTTTTTCATCTTTCTTGTTTACCGTACCGGTAGATCTGAATTGGTTCTGTAAACATTACACGCTTGATTTGGAGAATCTAACCGGTCTTATGACGTATGTCTCAGCTACTGACAAAGGTTTAAACCACCACCCAGTAGACTTTAAGAGGTTTTAGACATCCACAGAACTTCTACAGAAACCGACCAGGCGTCTGATTGAGACCTGCGTTATCTGTCACAAACCAGCCACACCCGGCCAGCAAATGGGACAGACGTACTCTAACTTGGATTAGACTTTTAAATTAAGTTCTACGTTGTTCTTTAACAATGCACAACAACGTTAGCCACTAGTTTTATTCTGAAACTCTAACCAGACCTTGCATATTTCTTGTTGCTAACTTGACGCGGAGTCCAACGTGTCCAAAAAAACGACCCAGGGCGTTAAAAAGCAACGCCACGGGTCTTGACCGAACGTCCATTATGTGACAAGTTGGGAATGAGAACGTTGAGCTTGGAAAGAAAGTGAACAAGCGTATTTCCCCAAAATGTTAAACATGACTGTTAGTTTCCCAAGTCAGCCATCAGCACGGAGGTTTGAGACGCTGTTCGCCAAACTGACCAGTTCTGCGTATGAAGCATCCCGAGGGCCCCGACAGAACGAAGGACCTGCCAGCGCCCTCTAGAGAATCCAGCGTTCATTACAGCCACAACAGGAACGCGTTGGACAGAAAAAACATCAAACTGATGATTCTCTCTTCTCAGCAGTTAATGGAGCTAAAAAATATGTGAAGTTCTCTCTGCTGAACCTGCGAGACAAAATTAATATCGATCGTCTCGTTCTTCCAGCAAGACAGCAAACAAGAGGATTTTCCAAAATGTCTAAGTCTTCGTTAACAACGCACCAACAGAGTGTGTGTGTGGTATTGAAGACTGGCGGCCTGCATGTCGAACACAGAAGAAAGGCCGGGATTAGTTCCACTTTGCAAATTGCCTCGCTTCACTGCCTCAGACCTCTGCCGCCCTCCTCCTCCTCCTCCTCCTCCTCCGCCTCCTCCTCCTCCTCCCTCTGTCTCTCTCCTGCCAACTTTTCCTTGAAGAAGATATTTGCCATGAAGACGTGATTGATAAACGATAAGAAGGAGGAGAGGATTTAAGACGCAAAGCTCCTTCATTTGCGCCGCAGGGGGAGGACGAGGACGAAGGATGAAGGATCGAAGGAAGAGGGTGTGAAGATTTTAAAGGAGAGGGGGAAGAGGAGAGAAGAGAAAGGAGGTGAGAAAGTAGAAAGGGGAGAGAACAAGTAGAAACAGGAGAGATTGTGGTGGGAAGAGGAGCCATCATGTCTAAAGGAAGAGAATGAGTGGAGGAAGGAGGATGGAAAGAAGAAGAGGAGGAGCAGCAGGATAGTAATGAAAGATGGATGGATCACAGGAGGAGGTGGAGAGAGGAAGGGAAGAAGATGAGAAGCAAACACAGATAGACAAACCAATAAAGAGTAGATGAAACGGAGTCTGTCAGCTGAAGGAGGATGAAGGGAGGAAGGAGGTGAAAAGGTAAGGGAGGAGGCAGGAGAGAAGAAGAAGAGATGTTGGAGGACAGTAAAAGGAAAATGGGGAACACGAGGCAGAGAGGAGTCGTGCTGGGATCCCAGGGAGAGCTTGAAGAAGAGGAGACAGGGAGGTGGACTGGAGCAGATCCAGATTGACACCTCGCGCCGTCACTGATTAGGATTAATGAAACAGGAAGTTGTCAGAAGCGAGCCCACTTCACCTTTCACCCCTGCAGGAGTTCAGCTGCTCTCACATCATTTTCACTCCTCTAATCTGCTCCTTCACCAGCAGGAGTTTCCTCCCACAGGCTGCTGGGAAACTGGAATCAGGATCCTTAGCCGCATTTCAACTGGAGGAACCAGGGACTTCATCCAGTTCTTGACCCAGGAACTCTTCCCGGGTCTGTTTCTAGCAGCTGATGCTGTTTCTCATCTCGCGCCCTTGTGTACTCACACTTGATATTTTGAGCGCACAAGCTGCGTTCACACTGAGACGTATGGCAGAACGCAGTGTGGAGCTGCAGCAGGTGCAAGTGTAAAAGTAAAAGTACGTTCATTTTAAGTAATTTTTGATGAATTGGAGTAAAGTGAGATATAGATTTTAGATATATTAGGTAGATATTTTGGCGTGCGATAATTACAATCAGGTGATGGTGATGATGATCCGCCCAGTTAAGAAGTAGTCGAAGTAGAGGAAAAAGAAAAAGAACAAGAAGAACAAGAAGAGCAAGAAGAGGAAGAATTACAAAAAGAAGAGGATGAAGAACAAGAAGAGGAAGAAGAGGAAGAAGAAGAAGAGGAGGAAGAAGAACAAGAAGAGGAAGAAGAGGAGGAAGAAGAACAAGAAGAAGAAGAAGAGGAAGAAGAAGAAGAAGAAGAACAAGAACAAGAAGAAGAAGAAAAGGAAGAACAAGAAGAACAAGAAGAACAAGAAGAACAAGAAGAACAAGAAGAAGAAGAACAAGAAGAACAAGAAGAACAAGTGACAGTAGCCGTGTTTCCATCAGCGTTTTTTAATGCGCATTTTTAAGTATGGCATTAGAAAAGGTTGATGGAAACAGCAACATTCGAAAACAAATCCTTCATTTCTCAAAAAAGTTTTTACGTTCGCTTGAGGTGGTTTTTGCCTTTGTCGAAAAAGAGTTAATGCACTAAATCGGAGCTGGAAACTTTTTCCAAATAAGTTCTGACGTAGTGAAAATGTAACTCACGACTGATCAGCTGTTTCTGCTGTCGGCTTCTTACCGGATATTCCCATGACGTGCGGAGACATGGCTGGTAGCAACGTGCCCGCTTGAAACAGATTTCTGAGGACCTCTCTCTTTTCTCAGATCAGCGGCCGTCAGGTTCATGCGGCTGGTTTTGTTTCTGGTTTGGAACCCAGATGTCTTGTTTATTACAGCCCTGTGTAATGTCAACTACTGACGTAACTACGCTCGCCGTGATTTTTGTTTCCTTTTTTGCTACATGTAAAAAAAAAAAAAAGTACGCTTAAATTCTCATGACAATTGACCCTTCTCTAAGCCACGCCCTGAATACACAGCTGGCCAATTACAGCGCAATATTTTACTCTAATCCAAAAAGAGAGGGTCAAACGCTGTTCCTGCAGCATCTTGTAATAGTTACAGCAGCTACCCAGAGAGGCTGAAAGGAGAAGGACGATTTATTCTCTTTCCAAAACCCAAAATAAATATAAAAAATAAATCCAGAAACATGTCGGCTGTGGATCGTTCCTAATGTAATGTTAGTTAGCTAACGCTAGCTAACTTCCTACTGAATGTAACGTAATAAAGTCCTGCTGTTCTGCTTTTTAATGACTGTAATAATGAACAAAGGCCGACCAGCTGTACAGGAACACTGTTGATCCTATATCATTTTCTTTTCTCTCAGTCGTCAGGGATGTGGTTGTTCACTTGTACTGTGTGATTGGTAGGCTTTAGCTTCTATCTTTTTTTCACGTCCGTCTGAGTCCGTCTGAGTCAATTTGAGTCTGTTTGAGTACGTCTGAGTCAGTTTGAGTCATTTTCAGTCCGTTTGAGTCATTTTGAGTCCGTCTGAGTCCGTTTGAGTCTGTTTGAGTCCGTCTGAGTCCGTTTAAGTCCGTCTGAGTCATTTTGAGTCCGTCTGAGTCCGTTTAAGTCCGTCTGAGTCATTTTGAGTCCGTTTGAGTCCGTTTAAGTCCGTCTGAGTCATTTTGAGTCCGTTTGAGTCATTTTGAGTCCGTCTGAGTCCGTCTGAGTCCGTCTGAGTCAGTTTGAGTCAGTTTGAGTCCGTTTGAGTCCGTTTGAGTCATTTTGAGTCCGTCTGAGTCCGTCTGAGTCCGTTTGAGTCCGTTTGAGTCTGTCTGAGTCCGTTTGAGTCCGTTTGAGTCATTTTGAGTCCGTTTGAGTCCGTCTGAGTCTGTTTGAGTCCGTTTGAGTCCGTTTGAGTCTGTTTGAGTCCGTTTGAGTCCGTTTCACAGCCTGAATATGACCTTCAAATGTTTAATGCAACTGCAAAACTGGCAGTTTGTCAGACATAGCAACCGTAAGTAATCGGGGTGGGGCTTAGCAAAGGGTCAATCAGACGGAAACATGGCTAGTGTTGCCTTGTTGTTTTTGTTTAATTCGTTCAGTCATCCAGATCTCATCTTTCAGTACTCTACATCACCTCATGTTTCGTCCGTCACCTTCTGTCTTTCAATAAGCAAACCCTCTCTTGAGGTGCATTCAAGGAGACTCAGACATCCAAGACTGATGAATGAATTCAGTCGTTACTGTATCTAGATACATCTCAACGTGTCGTTTTTGTACTACACATGTAGTATAATCATCTCATACCTCGTCTCAACAGGCTCCATGGACATTATGAACAAAATAGATGGAATAAAGAAAAGCAATTTAAAAAGTATTATTGATCACACACACACACACACACACACACACACACACACAGGCAGCAGGAAGTGTGTTTCTGTGTTGTGGGATACTTTGATCAATCAGAAGATTAAAAAAAAACAGTGTAGGAACGGGAGGTTTGGAGTGGGCGGGGCATACAGGTAGGTGAGGAGGATGTAGTCATAAAAAACACGCACACGTACACAAACCCTGCCTAAAGCCTACAGGTGTGTGTGTCTACAGGTACACAGACTCCTGCGCCTCCTCTGCCTGACAAAACCCACAGCTGACGGGGGAGGGAGGGAGGGAGGGAGGGGTGAGGAGGTGAGAGGAGTGAGGGTGGTGGTGGTGGGGTTTAGGGTTGACTGGTTGAGGACCTCACCTCGAGGCCCGGTAATGACGGGCCGGTGATGGTGTGTGAAAGCCGTTCGGGGGGAAGAGGAGGAAGAAGAAGTGGAGGAGGTGGAGGCGGAGCCGCTCGGCGAAGGCACGGCGCCGCAGAAACCAGACTTCTCTGACTTCTTTAGGACGCCGGCGGGCGACGGCATCCCTGCCAAGAACCATGATGATGAGGATGAGGAGCGGGTCAGAGGTAGCGTGTTTTCTTAATTACATTTTTATGCACCTCCAGTGGTGGAGAGGAGATGGGAGGAGGAGGGGAGGAGGGGGGGGGGGGGGGGGGTCAGAGGGGTGAGGGGGCGATTTGGGCGGAGTTTGAACAATAAGGAGGAAGGGAGGCGACAGATTGAGGCTCGGGGCTGCAGGGTGTCACAAGGAAAAACACGTTTTCTTTCAGCGCAGAATCTCAACACGACCACGTTTTTTTATTTATTGACTTAAATTTATTTAAAAACTACACATTTTATGACATCATAAAATTTATAATAAAATAAATAATTAGAATAACTAACTAATTAATAAAGAAAATGTGTGTTTTCTATATATATATATATAAAACACTTTATAATTAAAAACTTTTCATTTTACTAAAAACTTAAATAAATAATATATATATACATATTATTTTGTAATACATTTGATCTTTTAATGATACAAGTGTTTTTTTTTTAGTAGTTTGATGATCTGCATCGTATATCACCAAGTATAAATACCCTGTCTCTTCATTTCTACAGAAGTCTCCAGTTTAACCCAGCACCCCCAGGATTTCACGATGTCGCGATCGCAACTATTAACACAAACTCAACAAATCCCCTTGAATTCAGCTCGACTTGCAATTCGGACCAATCACAGCAACTGTTCTGCAAACAGTGACCTCTCATCGCCGTTTCCTGCAAAACGTCACACGTCAGCAAACTCACTTCCTTGTTTAGAAGACGCAGCAGACATGTGTGATACAAACAGCAAAGGGGACGGTGAAGACCAGGATCCTGTGTTGTGACAAACACTTTGAGAGAGAACGTCACAAACACACGGTGGACGTCAGAGAGACACAGGCTGCTGCATCCAATCAGCTGCAGGACAGAATCAGCTGGTTTAAATGTGCGTTTAGAGGAAACGTTAGCTGTGTGTGTGATTTTAGAACATAGTTTAGGAACAATAAAGTCCATCCATCCATCCATCGTCAACCACTTATCCTGCGTACAGGGTCGCGGGGGGCTGGAGCCAATCCCAGCTTACATCGGGCGAAAGGCGGGGTAGATCCTGGACAGGTCGCCAGTCCATCCAACAACCACCCACACTCACTCCTAAGGACAATTTAGGGTCACCAATCAACCTAGTCTGCATGTCTTTGGATGGTGGGAGGAAGCCGGAGCACCCGGAGAGAACCCACGCAGACACGGGAAGAACGTGCAAACTCCACACAGAAAGGCAACCGGGGTTTGAACCCACGACCTTCTTGCCGCCCAGAACAATAAAGTGCAGTGTTTAAATATTTTGAGAAAGTTTTTTCAAATTGTTAATTATTACTATTCAACTATAATTCTAATTGTAAGTTTAAAAAAAAACACCCAAGAACATCCAAACTTTCAAGCTGCTGCAAAATCTGCCATTTTAGGTCGCAGCAATCACAAATCCTGAGTCGTGCGAAATCCTGGAGGGACTGCGTTCAGCTGCTGAATCTGTTATTAAATGTCATTTTAATTTTTTCACTGCTGTAAAAAAAACTTCAGCTGCAAATAAAAAAACGCCTGCTGTATAAACGCCACGCCGTTTGACTGCAGAGGTCGCCCTGGACCCAACATGATGGAGCTGATGGAGGGCGGGGCTTATGGCGATGGAGGAAGGGTGCAGCAGGGGGGAGGAAGAGGAGGAGGAGAGTGTGTGTGTGTGTGTGTGGGTGAGTGATGAACACTTGAAGAGGTTTTGTCAGGTGGAATCGAGGCAGAGTCTGCTCAGCACTTTCTCCTTCCTAACCCTGTTTACACCTCTATCTGTCTATCTGTCTATCTATCCCTCCCTCCCTCCCTCCCTCCCTCAGACTCTCTTATCTTCCCTTTTCTGCTGTATTTTCATCTATCCACCTTTATTTTTCAGTCTTCTTCACTCCTCCCTCCTCTTCCTCACCTGTCTGCTGTTTCAGATAAAATATTAACACAAACACAAGAAAAGGAGGAACTACTGACTTATAGGAGTGTGTGTGTGTGTTTTGGAGGCAACAAATACACAACTAATAATTACACACACACACAGAGTCATGCACAGCGTCACGGTCCATCCAGCAGATTGTTTTTCTTCATGGACATCAACCAACAAATAAACAGCCATGATGATGTCATCAGCATGCTGCCTGATGGGCAGGGTCGAGGTGGGGGAGGGGGGGGTGATGGGTGCAGCACCGAGGGGGTATCTCACTGTTGAAACACAGATGGGAAACAAGGAGAGGAGAGAAGGAGACAAGGGAGGAAATGGGAAAAGGAAATGGGAAGAGAAGAGGAGACAGGACAAGAGAGGAGGGAGGAGGAAGGAAAGAAGAAAAGAGGAGACAAGGGGAGAAAGAAGGAAAGGAAATAGGAAGAAGAGACAAGGCAGGAAAGGAGGGAGGAGGAAGGAAAGAAGATAAGAGGAGACAAGGGGAGAAAGAAGGAAAGGAAATAGGAAGAAGAAACAAGGCAGGAAAGGAGGGAGGAGGAAGGAAAGAAGAGGAGACAAGGGGAGAAAGAAGGAAAGGAAATAGGAAGAAGAAACAGGGCAGGAAAGGAGGGAGGAAGAAGGAAAGAAGAGGAGACAAGGGGAGAAAGAAGGAAAGGAAATAGGAAGAAGAAACAGGGCAGGAAAGGAGGGAGGGGGAGGAAAGAAGATAAGAGCATACAAGGGAGGAAAGAAGCAAAGGAAATGGGAAGAGGAGACGGGACAAGAAAGGAGGGAGGAGGAAGGAAAGAAGAGAAAAGAGAGGAAAGAAGGAAAGGAAATGGGAAGAGGAGACGGGACAAGAAAGGAGGGAGGAGGAAGGAAAGAAGAGGAGACAAGGGGAGAAAGAAGGAAAGGAAATGGGAAGAGGAGACGGGACAAGAAAGGAGGGAGGAGGAAGAAGGAAATTAAAAAAGAGGAGGAGACATGAGAGGCAAGGAAATGACAGAAAGAAAAGGTGAGGAGAGGAAAGAAGGAAGCAAGAAGAGAGGAGAGATGGAATAAGGAAAGGGAAGAACGGGGGAAAGAAGATGGTAGAAGGAAAGAGGAAATGAAAGGTAGACAAAAAAGAGGAGATAAGATGATAGGAGGTGGGGAAAGAGGAAAGGAAAGGAGAGGAGATGAGAGAGGAAAGGAGGAGGATAAAGAGGAGATAAGATGAGAGAAGGAGGGTGTAAGGGAGAAAGACAATATTAAAGGAGGAGGAGAGAGAAAGAGAAAGGGGTAAAACAGAAAGTAAGGAGGAGGAGGAGGAGGAGGAGAAGGAGGAGGAGGAGTCCACCAGACGAAACCAGACACGTCACAACACCAAACGAGAAACCAAAAACCACCCAGGTATCTTAGCCATCGGGAGGAGGTGGAGAGGAGGAGGAGGAGGAGGAGGAGGAGGTGGAGGAGGAGAGGAAAAGGAGGTGACGGCTTCACAGACACGAAACAGAAAAGTAAGAGGCGTGTTCACAGTCTTTACCTTGTCGGGAGATGAACGAGCTAGCTAGAGAGCCACGCAGCTTATATCCGGCTTTTCCAACGCGAGACGGAGGAAAGAAAGAACAGAAACGAACAGAGGAAAGAAAAAGAAAAGCAGCATGAATACACGGCCTGAGAGAGAGAGAGAGAGAGAGAGACCTCAACAACGTAGTGCTCATGTAAGAGTGTCCCACGCCACACATTCACACAGCGACCCGTTCTCAATCCCACGGCGTCCAATACATACGCTTCGCCACGTTCTCCTCTAAAGGTTTAAGTCGCCCCCTGCTGGCTGCTGGAGAGGACGCAGGTTTAAGTCGCCCCCTGCTGGCTGCTGGAGAGGACGCAGGTTTAAGTCGCCCCCTGCTGGCTGCTGGAGAGGACGCAGGTTTAAGTCGCCCCCTGCTGGCTGCTGGAGAGGACGCAGGTTTAAGTCGCCCCCTGCTGGCTGCTAGAGAGGACGCAGGTTTAAGTCGCCCCCTGCTGGCTGCTGGAGAGGACGCAGGTTTAAGTCGCCCCCTGCTGGCTGCTGGAGAGGACGCAGGTTTAAGTCGCCCCCTGCTAGCGGCGGGAGCAGCGCTGCAGCTTTTGGACAAATGCGCACGAGCGCCCCCGGCTCGTTTCCCTCTCTTACGCCGCTTCATTCGGTTAACAACAACGAGAGAGCCCTTCGCCAAATAATTCCACTGATGACGCCAGAAAAGTGGGAAACAAATCCGCTGGAGTTTTTCCACTAATGTTCATGAGCTCCTCTCTGGCGAAAGAGCTCCGGGAATCACATCCGAAAACTGAGTTAACGCACAAAAACAAAACAAAGCGCACCTAACTCAGCTGTAGACAGCGCCATGTTGGATCTCGAAAGGAAGATAAATAATCAGGAACGGACACATTCGGACTTAACGAGCGCTTCAAAGGTAACGGGAGGCGGCGCTTTCTTTTCATCTCTTGTACCGTGCAGGTTACAGCGGTAAATCTATAAGAATCAGACTTTTGGGGCTCGTTGTTTCCGTTAAATGAACTGAACGATTGAACTGTAGAGAATCTAACTGATCTAACGATGTGCAGCATGTTCATACTGACATGTTGATCATGCGTTTAAACATTATTATTTGTATTAATGATCTGAGCAGCTTAGAAGCAGCTAAAGCAGCGACCCCGCGGGGTTTAAGAGGTTTTATACATCCAGAGAACTTCTATAAAAACCACACCAGGCGTTTAATGTGGACCTGCGTTTATTAGTATAAATGTGTTCCCACAGCAGGCCAGGAAACGGGGCGGGCGGCTATTTGGGATTCGGCTATTAATTGTTTCATGTTAAAAGTTTCACGGTCCACCTCCTTACTCTGAGAGACGTGGACGGGTGAGAGTCTGTAAATAAATAATATACCGGTGGGTCTTTCACCCCGGAGACCGGCGTTTGTTTCCTGCGTGAAACAAAAACATCGATTGTTTTTAGTTAAGTGGCTGAAGTAACGTAATCATTAAACTCGAAAAGATCTTTTGCTAAACCTAAAACTGCGACGTTAACTACCAGTTTTATTTTGAAAGTCTAACGGCATTATTTATATATGGATATTTATTCTTGTCCAGGGCGCCAAAGGGTCTTGAACAAGCGTCCATATGTGACGAGTTGGGATGAGAACAGGTTGCACACACACACACACACACACACACACAGTTTCCTGTCTAAGGAGTCCCTCAGTGAGTCCGACAGTAGCATTGTGTTGTAAGCAGAAAGTGCTTAAGTGGCAATTTTTGCATCAATGTTCTGGCTTGATTTTTATTAAATGTCCTATTTCATGACATACATGTTTATAAATCATAATATTAAATGACATACTGTGTTTACAAAGTGTTCTCTGCCTCGCTCACTCTTTGATGAGCACTCATTCAGAGGATCAATGTCAATTTCTTCTCTACAGGATACCTGGGGTTTCTTCAGTCTGGCTGACGGAGAGCTGCTCTCTCTGTGGTGTCAGGCTGAATGACGCTTCCCCTAACCTGCCCTGCACACCTGATCTGCAGGTAACAAGAACACCTGAAGGCCCGTGTGACTCTTTCTGACGCACCTCAGCTCACTCTCTCACTCAGTATGTGGTCGTTGTTTCCTTGCATGTCACCTGCGTCTTCTCGCTCTCTCTCACACTCCCCTCCCTGCTGTAAGCATCACCTTCACGCTGTTACATGAATGCATCGCTCCGTTCACAAGCTGCTTCGGAGCGGCAGGTTAAAGTTGGGATGTGTATGAAGCGTGTGTGTACGGTGGAGGAGGGGGAGGAGGGCTGAGGTATTAAGCTTGGTGGCGAGGAGAGCGGGGGTTGTTAGAGGAGGTGTTAGGGGTAGTTGTGCGGTTGGTACCTGGCTCCACGTCGTGCCAGCTGCTCGCCTGGCTGCCGCTGCCCGGAGATCGACCCTGACTGGGGTAGTAGGACTCCTCGCCGGGACTGTCCACGTCCTCCTCCATACACTTTATCCTCTTGGCAGAGCTGGACACACAAACACAGGGGAGACAGCACCGTTGTTAACGTCTCATATGCCAGTTTGATTGTATAATAACTTTTCACACATGCAATGCAGCTCAAAGTGCTTCGCATTCACAAGCACTTAAGAGGAGTAACATATAAATAAATACAGCAGCATGCACAAAACACAGGTATTAGAACTGGAATAAAGGTCAGGGCTACAAAATCTAATAAATACATAAATAAAAGTGTGTTTAATCACTTAAAATCAAAGGCAGATAAGTAGGTCTTGAGTTACTTCTTAAACTATCTATAGAGGTAGCTTCTCTTATTTGTAAAGGAAGTCTGTTCGATTGCTGCTACGCCAAACTCTACAAGAACTTTAAAATCAATTCTAAACTCTACGGGAAGCTCAAACTGGGAGAGTTGTGTTCTCTCAGTTCAAACTCTTGCTGCCACATTTTGTACTAGCTGCAGCTTCTCAAAACATTTTTGGGGAAAATGTCCAAATGTGAAAAAACATTTGGACATTTGGACAAAAGCATGCAACAACTTTTTGGCATCTTCCAAGGCGAGGTAGGGTCTACTTCTGGCAACAACTTGGTTAAAATGTGATTTAAAATCCAGGCTTTTGAGAACACTCTTATTCTGCACAGCTACACAGACTTTTAGATCTACAAGAAATACTGTTGTTCATCTCATTATTCTGATGAGCACAAGTAACCAGTTAAAAGTGAGTTTATAACATGGAGGATTTAAACACGTCCTCTCTTTGTTGGTGTTACAGACAATAAATATGTATACAGATAATAAAACACGCTTGTTGACAAGTATTGTCATAACTAACTAACTAAAGAGCTCCAGGAACTAAATCCCAAAATCCAGAAGTACACAAAATAATCAAGTTATTCTGGCAGTTTGTGGCTGTAGGAATCTGACGAATAAACAGATGTTAGAAGTGAGACATTATTTGTTTCTGCTTTGTAAGTAGAATATAAATGCACTGAAGAATTATCATATTATTATCATATATTTTGTCCCTGCGTGTGGACCGGATGTGGATGCAGGAAGTTTAATTTGCTCTAAAAGAGTTTGTGGATCGTGGAAAAAGTACTCCCTCTGGATCAGGTTAAAATGCAGGTAAAAGGTCTGTAAAAGGTCAGTAAAGTTCTCATGCATTCCCAGAAAAAGTCCTGTGGTGGAAGAATGAAATGAAATGAAACTTTCCTCTCTTCTGATGCTTCTTCAGACTTTGATGCACCAGGGTAAAAAACAGGCTCAGTGAAGTCGGCTGCATCAAAGGCCAAGGTGACCCAAACCTGATGTTTCTGCTCATGTGTGACTCAGATCGGATTTGTTTACAACAGAGGGAACAAGTCTGATGTTTATCTACAGATACAGGTCGGACTGTTGGAAATGAGACCTCAGTCTGGACCGGGGCGATACGGCCAAAAGCGCTGAAAAACATCTTATCATTCGATACCGATAATTATCAGGATAAATGTCAAATCATTATTTCTTCCAAATTTAAAGGCTGATTTTTGCTCCTGAGTGGAAGTTAATTCGTTTTAAAAACTTTTCTTTCTGCTACTGAACAAACACTTGATGCCAAACAGTGGCTCGCTTCACAAATCTGAGGCAGAACATTCAGAACTATTCTGATAAAATCTGTTTTCAACAAATATAAAGACACCAGAAAAATTAAGTTAAATCTGTTTTCAGTGGCTTTTCCTCAACAAAATAAATATCTTAATAGAAAATTTAAGTGCTGATTCGATTCGTTTGTGACTCAAAAGAATTAAATCAAACATTTATTGAACATTTGTTATTTTGTTATAGAGGAAAATTATATCGCGATAATTATCATTCTTATTTTATTGGCCAGCCCTAGTTTGGACAGACAGATCGGAGTTCATGCAACTCTAGAGTGACACTCGCCATAATTCTGCGCTAGACGGAGCTGCTGTTAACGCAAACACGCACTCGCCAACCCTCACGTGGCTACTGTGGCTATTGTATGCAAAACGGTGAGGCTAGCCGGTCGCCATGCATAAATTTACTGACTTACGTTTTGGCGCTAACTTCTGTGACGGTTAAGGTTACGGGAAGTTGCCTCGGGGGCCTGTCAACTCCTTAAACACAAAAATCGCTAGCTAGTTAGTTAGCTACTAACGTTTATACACGCAGAATTGAGGTTTTACGTACAATTGCCACGGTTTTCTCAAAGCGTGTATATATGACGCCTGAGCATGATTACAGGCTGATTTTTCCCAATCTCTCCCGGTTTCTTCCTGGAGTGCTGATTTCTCGCATTTCCCCCGATTTAGATATATATAAATATTCACAACTTTTTATTACAGTTTCTGACGTATAAGCGCTACAACTCTCTCTCTCTCTCTCTGCTGTTTCCACCCGGACAACATGATGCAGAACCCTGCCAGAGTTCTGTCTCATTTGACGGACACCAGCTTCGACAATAACGGTGGCCCGATGGCCCGGGGCCAGTAAAAAATAACGTCGGGACAGTTGAGCTAGCAACTCACTGGCCAGTGCAAAAACATTAGTGTTTAAAAAAAATAAAAATAAAAATTTAGAAACTCAACATCCTGAAGTTGCTTTGCACTGTTTTCCAATCTGTAGTTGTAGTGACGTGACGAGCGGTTGTCAAATGTTCTCTGATCGCAATCAAGCGGAAACCTCTGGGTCTGAAAGTTAAACCATGCAGACGGAACTTAAACCTGCGTCCTCTCCAGCAGCCAGCAGGGGGCGACTCCAGCGGCTGCAGAAAGAAAATGTTTCTACTTGTCAGCTGATTTATTCCCTCAGTAAACACTTTCCTGATGAGTTTATGGTCTCAGTCGCTAGTTTCAAGTCTTCTTCAACACAGCATGATGTTCATTTAGTAAATTATGGTCCCGTTTAGAGGAACAGAGACCAGGAAGCAGGGGAGGAGTCAGGGCGGGGCTACAAGCTGATTGACAGGTCGCTACCATGGCATATGTTTTGTTTTAAAAATAAATTGTTTTGTTAATCTTTTTATTTTTTTTATAATTTTAACTGTTTGTTTTTTTTTTTATATCCAGGATGTATTTAATAACTGATTAAACATGTTAACAGTATAACATAACTTATAAGTCTTTGGTTTTTTGTTGTAACACTGATGAATAACTTTTGGAAGGAGGGACAGTAAACATGTCTCCAGGCCAGTAAGTTTCAAACAGACTAACGTTGAGCCCTGCTTCCATACGCCAGCGTGCTGCGTAAGTCATCTTCTATACCCGCTTGTCTGTACAGGGTCGCATCAATAAGAAAGCTTTAAGGCCTGCAGGGTGAACGTAATTTATGATGTTTAACTGACTTTACTTTGTTTCTTGCTTCCAGCTCGATTCAGCTAAAGGAAAATAAAACCTGAGAATCCTCTTCTAATCAATAAATCATACAGACATGTCTGACGTAGATGCCTCCTGGTGTTTGAGCATGTTTAAACACAGTCAGCAGCAGCAGCTGATGAAGCTGTGCGGGACTTTGTTTATCCTGACTGTATGAACGATGGCGAACAGCATCTTAATCGCTTCGGTTACCTCCACTCTGTTGTTGTTGCAGGCATTTACGTGTCACGCAATACTGAGCGGAGTTACAGCAACTACATGACTGCTCATTAACACGCACACAAGCCCCGACACGCCGACGGCCTCTCGTTTACCAGATGTGTTCGTTTAGCAGGAGGTTAAGACATTAGTGAGTGCGTACGAGTGTGTACGAGTGTGTGCGAGTGCGACCTGCCTGTACAGTGAGATGTAAATGTATGAATGGAGACTCTTTGACGTTAGTAAAGATTTCCATATGAAGCCGCTTCACTGCCTCGCAGCGCTGTGTGTGTGTGTGTGGGAGGTCTCTGGAGAGGTGTGTGCAGTCAGAGAGAGAGAGAGGGAGTGTAGAAACACAGAGGACACACACAGAAACACACTCAGTCTAATCAGAGTCAGTAGTTCACTATTAGTGTGTGTGTGCGCTGCAGGGCAGGTATCTCAGCAGACAGACAGACGACTCTTGTGACCGCATCGATTTAACAGAAGAGGTCAGGCCAAACCCTGCAAGCATGTGCGTGCTTGTGTGTGTGTGTGTGTATGTGCGGGGGGGGGGGGGGCTTGTTTTACTACAGTCGTGGGGTCCAAAAACTGGGATCCCAGTACACTTGAGGCATCCGACAGTTTTGTGGGGATCAAAATTACTGGACCTCACAAGTTTAGAGGTACTACATACTGGCAACTGCAGTATGCAGTGCACAGCATGAAACTGTAAAGAGGTGGTATTCTGCTTTTTGGCTTTTTCCCCTCATTATTGAGTTATTTATCTTTTTTGTGCATGTAGTCGACCCTTCGCTAAGCCCGACAAACTGTCAGCGCTGCCACTGTCTACTGCTGCACTCCCCAGAGAAATATTGTCTAATTTGTTGAAAGAAGCAGACAGTTTTACAGTTGCATTATACATTTGATGGTTGTATTCAGGCTGTCAGACTGACTCAGACTGACGTGAAAAAAAATGAAAGATAGAAGCTAAAGCCTGCCGATCACACAGTACAAGTGAACCACCGCATCCCCTGATGATTGAGACAAAACTCAACGATATGAAGGATCAGCAGTGTTCCTGTACAGCTGATTGGCCTCTGTTCATTATTACAATCATTAAAGAGCAGAACAGCAGGACTTTATTACGTTACATTCAGTAGGAAGTTAGCTAGCGTTAGCTAACTAACATCACATTAGGAACGATACACAGCCGACATGTATCTTGATTTATTTTAGGTTTTGGAAAGAAAATAAATCGTCCTTCTCCTTTCAGCCTCTCTGGGTAGCTGCTGTAACTATTACAAGATTCCCCAGGAACAGTTTGACCAGATCATCAGTCACTGGAGCTCAGCCATGAAAGTGTCGGACCTCAGTTAGAGCGAGTCCTATACTGCGCTGTGATTGGCCAGCTGTGTATTCGGGGTGTGGCTTAGCGAAGGGTCAATATGTTTGCAGAGTGAAAAAGCCCAAAGTGAGTTCCCATCTCCCACAGAAAACTCTGCTCTGAACTGAAAACAGCTCGTTTGTAGTCCAGCCGCTTCCCTTTCGCCCCTGTGACGTCACAGGGATGAAAGCTAAACGCGCCTCATATGACGCTCGCCGAGCGGCGACTCCGACACGCCCTCAGAAACAGCGAGCTGCAGCACACAGCTCTCCTCTCCCTTCCAAACACTAGCTACCCTCCAGGCAGTCAGTGGACATAAAGTTGTTCCTGTGATGTAGAGACAGAGCTCAGTTCAAACTTTATGGATACAGATTAATAACTCACCGCTCTGAAACTCTCGCTCCAGTCCGTGTTGCCGAGCCGGTCGGCAACACGTACGGCTGAACCCGAGCCGTTTACCGGCTTCTCGCTGACCCGCCCTTCTCTGCTTCTGATTGGCTAGTAGTCCTTAACTAGGAACTGAGCATGTGCAACTCCCAACAAAGATCATTAAAAGACAAGATGTATCACTCCATAGCTAAAACGAAGCCTTCAACACAGGCTGAAAAGAGGAGCTGCAGCAATGTGCAGTATGACAAAAATATAACCATGTAAACCTGCTCTGGTACAAACTCTAAATAAGATGAGGAACCTGAAAATGAGCAGAATACAACCTCTTTAAATTGATTTATTTTGCAGTAAGCGGCATTAGGCAGTAGCATCGCTATTAGTTTAACTACATTTCTCAGTAGCTTGGTGGTAGCGGCGCTGTTTTCTGAATCAAATAGCTTTTCAGTAGCGAAGCTCTCTTATAGGCCGAGTAGCGCGGTAGCTTCCACACACGCTACATTTTCCCAAGCATTTCTGAGGGATCAGTGAGTGACGCCGCCGACGGTGACATCACGTACCGATCCTTGGGCTGATGCCTGTAACTTTGCTGCAGGGAACGAAGACGCGCGAGTTTACTTTCTATTGTGATAGTTGTTGTAACAGCTCTTGTGAGAAGGATCAGGGTCCAGCCTGGACAGCTCGTCCTCTAGTGAGGAGGAAACTTTGATACGTGGTGTCAGAAACTTGTTTCAATGAGATGAGATCTCTCTCTCTCTCTCTCTCTCTCTCTCTCTCTCTCTCTCTCTCTCTCTTGGGCCTATTGCCATGAATCTTTAAGTAAACAATGTTGCCAGAGCACAAATTCACATATAAACAATAAAAAAGTCTATAAATAATAAAAAATTAAATGAAATTATAAAAACTAAAGAAAGAGGAAAAAACAATCAAAAACAAAACTCAAAACACAAAATATGTTACATTGAAAATATGTCTTGCTTTTTGACAAGCAAGAGAATTTTTCAAAGGAACAATTGTTAAAATAACAAAAAATATTAATGATGATAATGTGATAATTAAGTAACTTCATACAAACAACAATGGTTCTCAGTGTGTTGCATGAGGAAACGATATGGCAGGAAGTAGGAGAGTTTCTGTGTGTCTGACTTAGTTCCATCTCGCACACACTCACACTCCAGGTTTTTAGTCATATATATATATAAATTATAAGAGTTTGTGGTTCGGTTCCTGTTTTACCTTCATCTGATGACTCCAGACTCTCTGTTTTCTGTCTCTTTCGATGCGCTGTCACAAAAGTAAAAGTCTTCCGAAACAACAGTTTGACCTGTGGAGTGTTTGTGTTGTGTACCTGGAGGAGGAGGTGCTGGGCAGCGGTCTCCTCATGGCTCCTGGACTCATGCTGTAGTAGGAGGAGCTGTCCAGATCGGCCAGTGAGAAATTTGGACCGGTGCCGGCAGCGATAGGTGCTGAGAGAGAGAGAGAGAGAGAGAGAGAGAGCATTAATACACACATGTTGCATTTATACTTCTGCTAGTTGGCGGCAGCGTTATAGCGTCCAGCGTGTTGAGGTCTGCCGGCTGAGCCAGCTGACTTCCTGTTTAGCCCTCTGCTAACTTGAACGGGGGTAAAATAATAATCGTGAAGCTCCTTTAAGACTTTCGAAATGTTATCGGATTCCATATTTTTAGATAAATTAGTTTCTAATCAAACTATAACCTTCGTAAAAAGAAGCTCACACGTGCACCTTGGGGGCCCCTTAGAGTTAATCCGGCCCTGAGTTTATGGGTCTGTAATTTAATAAAACTTAAAACACGGAGAGTTCTAAGAGGGTTGTTTTAGTTAATAAGCAGTAGTTCATATCCAGAGGATCCTTGAAAGAGCTGCTCCATTTCAACACAACTTGCAAAAAAAATGATCAAACAGCTAAAATGAAAACATAGAAAACTAACCCTAACCCTGTAGAGACTTTCTCGTGAGTTTGCATGTTGGTGGTGCGGCGACTGGCGGTCCTGACGGCTGGTCCTACATTGCGGCTCATCGCCTCAGATTTTCACTCATGTTGAAGGAAAACGTCTTTATGGCGCCACGGTGAGAAGCTGCATCACCTCCCTCTGCTGTTAACATGTTTGTGTTTACATGTTAAACATGAGGGTCTAAAGGGAACAGCTCGTTCTGTGATGGCTGCATTTAAGAGCAGTTACTGACGACATTAGCATCTATAAACAAAGACTAGCTGCACTCTTCTTCCTCTATCTCTTTTCTTCCTCTCTGATCTGTCCATCTTCTGCCATTTACCCTCCTCCAAAACTCTCTTCCTCTTCCCTTCTCTCTGGGGAGAGAAAGGCCTGCGAGGGCTTTCACTATTAAAGGAGTGAGAGAGCAAGTGAGCGAGGGGTGAGACAGAGAGAGAGAGAGATGTTGTCAGATGCTTCAATTTGAAAATCCTGCTGAACAAAGGCAGCAATCAGCTTCAAACCCGGACATCCGTCTAGCCCCTCGCCTCCAGCCCCCCTCTTCCACCCATCCTCTTCATCGCTTTATTGACAGAGAGCATGATGATGTGATGGGATGAAAGGAGGAGGAGGAGGAGGAAGAGGACCTGGTGGGTAAGTTTCTGCTGAGCTCAGCACCGTGAGCTCTCGCTCTCTCCATCTATCACTCTCCCCCTCTCTCTCTGCCCTGAAGAGATAGCACTGGCCTGAGAGAGGTCTAATATCTTGTAGTTTGTGCAACTCAAAGTCAAGACAATATAAAACTATGCAAACTGCTGCGTGTTCCACCGGTTGCTGTATCGGCATGTGTTAATGTCTCTGGTCTCTCTCTCTTTTAAAACTCACATTCAGCAACTGGAGAGAAAACTGAAGGTGAAATCGGGTTTTTTATTTTGAAAACAAGTCGTGTTTTTCCTTCGAGGCCGAACAGATGCACCGAAATGAAAATACTTGGCCAAAGCCGAAGATAATGAAAAACTTTCAGAGAGTACCGAACAGATACATTCACATTTTGTCCATTTATTTTTCCTTTTTTCCCCCCACTGCATAAATTAAATAGCCAAAATGAGCTTTTTCATCAGTGTTTCCCAGAGGATGTGGAGAGACTATGAGAGGGTCCGGTAAAGTAAATTACATGAGTCCATTTATTTTTAATGTAATATGTTTTACAGTTTCTGTGAATATAATCTAATTAATCTTATTTCCATCCTGTACAGACGCCTTATTTTGAAAACCGGACGTTGACACATGTGTTTCCTCCTCGCGCTAAATCCATCCAGTCCGACCCGGTTTGATAAATAATGTTGTAACATGAAGACTTCACAGCGTCTCTTCATACTAAAGAGACAAACTGACAGGATAAAGTCTCTAACCTGCCTGTCAGCTCGCTCTGGGCCGCTTCACTTACCGTAAAGGCTGGAATACGTGTGCACGCCACATTTAAGAAGTCAGCCACAGATGGAGCGGATGTGCTGGGAGACAGTTCAGCAGAACAGCGTCTACTACCAGCTCGGGCACTTTAAAATGCTTCCACACTGCCGACACGTCAACGTAATTGTTCAGTAAAATTTATACGGTCTTTTGACGTATTAGGCCGAACACCAAAAGATCTTTTATTTGCTATTTTCGTCCGATTAATTTCGGTGGCCGAACATTCGGTGCATCCCTAAAATAGAGACAGTGCTGCACTATGGCGAAGTTACATACATGCATGCATCCATTCAAAGCCTGAAAGCGTTGGAAACTTTCATGGAGCACTGAGGTTCATCACAAACTTTATACCCTCCTTTTTTGTGCGCCCGTAGAATTAACCATGGCATATCTGACTTATTTATTAGGCTATTCTTGGTCTGCTTCCATCTTACTTATAGATCTTTATCCAAGAGAAAAGTACGGGAAGATTTTGTATTTCGTTCCCTGGACATTTTCCTGCTATCTGTCTGGCTATTGATTTCTATTTTTTAAATGTTGTATTTGTGGTTTCTTTTTAGACCACTTGTATTTGTGAATGTAATATTTTTCATACAGTCCCCTCCAAAAGTATTGGAACGTATTTATTTTTGTTGTTGACTGAAGACATTTGGGTTTAAGATCAAAAGATGAGACAAGAGTTCAGAATTTCAGCTTTTATTTCCTGGTATTCACATCTAGATGAGTTAAACATCTCAGGACAAACCACCGTTTGTTTGAACCCACCCATTTTTCAAGTGAGCAAAGCTATTGGAACATGTGACTGACAGATGTTTCTTGTTGCCTTTTAGGTTGATTGTCCAAACATTAAACAGCTCTGCATGACTAGTCTAAGTTTTCATCCTTGGTTCAAACCTATAAAGACTGCATTTCCTGTTAAAGAGGATAAAGCAACATGAAGACCAGAGAGCTGTCTATGGGAGAAAAGCAAGCCACTGTCAAGCTGAGAAAAGAAGGAAAATCGAGCAGAGCCATTGGACAAACATTAGGCACAGCAAGCACAACAATGTGGAACGTCCTGAAAAAGAAAGAAACTACTGGTGTCCTGAGCAACAGACGTCCAACAGGTCGGCCAAAGAAAACTACAGTAGTTGATGACAGAAATATGGTGAGAGCTGTGAAGAAAACCCCCAAAACATCAGGAAGTGACATCAGCAACGACCTCCACAGTGCAGGGTGAAGGTATCACAATCCACTGTTGGAAGAAGACTCAGAGAGCAGAAATATAGAGGCCACACACAAGATGCAAACCACTCATCAGCAGGAAGAATCGCAAGGCCAGATTGAAATTT